AAAAATGGGACAGAACTTATTACACAACCTAATAATATGTTTCCCGCAGTTTTTATTTACACCGTCGTGATCGCGCAGGGAACCTGCATTAATTTCCGAACAATCTAAATCTTCAAGTTGAATTACCTACTGATAAACTTCTGGTTTCATTTGCTCCACGAATAGTCGGAAAATGCGACATATCTCGAAAAGTGAAGCGCGATCGAACGAAGTGGATGGTGCCAGAATCAATATATCCATACCCAGAATTTCCCAAGTACTGCTCCAGTGGCACGTATACACTATGCGGTAAGTACCTATTCAACATTTTTGGAATTTCTGTAATTGTTCAGGTCATGATGTTCCTGGTAAACTGCTTGCAGTCGTTGGTGAAAGTTGGTTTCCTCATTCAGCCAACTATAGGTCTGTTTTACGCGAATTCCATTCTCGTAAATTCTCTCTCGCTTTTCGATTTATAGAAAATTGCCGGAAGATGTTTTGTTCACTGGAATTTTCGCGGAGATCGCTGGCATTCGACGAACGCACATTGGAGGAATGTCGTTCATTGACGCGCCTGATTACATATGTAGAAATGGACTTCGCACTTACAGTCTGCATATGAATCGTGTGCGAAATCCGTCTAATTACTTCAAACGTCTCACCGCCATGGAAGGTCATCCGTGCTAGTTTTAACATTGATCTCATCTTGTCTAATTATCGTTGATTTGTGTTTTTTGAAATAAATTGTTGGAATGAGTTTCAAGAATCAAAAGAACGGTTGCTCGGACGGGAGCGCAGATAGTGACCGCTGCACGAGTGCCTTTAATTTTCCTTAAATCTGTCATATGCCCAGTTCAAGCATATGATAAGGGGCACAAGTAGTGGACGCAAAAGTGTTGCAAACAAGAAAATATACTCTCATTTATGAGGAAAACGGGAAAAAACTCAATGGGTGTTGGAGCTCTTCCAAAGCTATAACTTCATTCAGTGCCTTTGACAAGTCTGCACTCCTGCATAGATTTGGCCTACTGCAGGCCTAACGCTTGATTTGCAGTGCTCATAAAAACCAAAACAGGCTCACTTTTTTAAACTAGGATTTGATCGACACGAAAATGCTAGAAATTGAGTTCAAAGGATTTGAGAAAAACTTATGGCACTTTGATAAAGAGTCTACCTACCAGTGTGCTCTGTGTCGCGTTGTTGCAGGGCGCTTCTCGAAGCATGGAGGCCGTGATTGGATGCACGCCATCCGGCTAGAATTACGGTAACCGATACGCGTGTCACCACTATCGCCTCCGAACATTTTATAGTGGCTCTTTGCCAGTCGGCGGACAAATAACGGTATCTCTGTGTTTATATGACTTTCGTGGGTAAGAACATGTTCTTCTTAGAATTTACCCGTTCGATCATTTCCAAGAGAAAGTTGAGGAAACTAATGATTCCTTTGGAAAAACAGATGAGCCGCATGTTTTCTTAACCGGAATATATTTGAAGCACTAGCGAGGTCGCGCGAGCAATTTAATGCTGAAAAGGAATGAGTTGTTTGGAGCCGGAATACCACGAAGTAAAAGGGTTGTGGGGCCGTCATCCTATGCCTATGCGATGCGAGGCGAATTCGTTGTGTGGTCGCCCGAGAGCATACGCGTTGAAGGCAGTATGCGGGCAAAAACTCGATTTTTAGAAAATCCAATTACCGGGAGTTATCCGCAACGCTGAATCCGAAAATCCAC